AGTCTCCTGCCTCCGCCTCCCAAGTAGCTGGGACCACAGGCGCCCGCCACAACGCCCGGCTATTTTTTGGTTGCAGCCGTCATTGTTGTTTGGCTGGTCCGGGCTGGGGATTCGAACCCGCCACCTTAGGTGTACGTGGCTGGCGCCTTAGCCGGTTGAGCCATAGGCGCCGAGCCCAAAACTGACTTCAATGTGTACTTCAAGTCCATTTAATTAAGAATGCGGGGCGGCGCCTGTGGCTCAAAGGGGTAAGATGCTGGTCCCGTATGCTGGAAGTGACAGGTTCAAACTTAGCCCCCGCCAAAAAAAAAAAAACAAAACAAAAGAATGCCACTGAGAGAGCAGCGCCTATGGCTCAGTGAGTAGGGCACCAGCCCCATATACCGAGGGTGGCGGGTTCAAACCCAGTCCCAGCCAAATCACAAAAAAAAAATAGCCGGGCCTTGTGGTAAGCGCCTGTAGTCCCAGCTACTCTGAAGGCTGGGGCAAGACAATCACCTAAGCCCAGGAGTTGGAGGTTTCTGTGAGCTGTTTGACGCTGCCACGGCACTCTACCAAGGACAATAAACTAAAACTCTATCTCTTAAAAAAAAAAAAAAAAAGTGACAAAAAAAACGTCACTGAGAGAAAGATCTGAATTAAAGTAGCTGAAGCTTCTTTCAAAGCACTACTGTAAAAATGTTAAGATCTCTCGCATCATGAAAAATAGTCAAATTGACAAAATCAGCCTAAGATTTCAATTGCTAATTAAGTATTTGGAAATGAAAATGAAATTTCTTGCCTAGAAAACAATTTAGAGACTTCTAACTGGACATGTCAGTTGAAACCAGGAAGGTTATGCTACTTTCTCAATACAATGCTGCCCCCATGAGTTCTATCAATAACTTACAAAATAAAACCTAGAACCAATACATGTGAAAGAGAAAATATACTCAACAAAGGATATCATTCTTACACTTTAACTTCACATATGTAAGATCCATCTCTGCATCATTCAGTAGAAGAAACACACTTTCCCTCCAATCCAACCTCACCATCCTCCCCACAGAAACTATATCGACTGCACAAGTCATCAACATTAACATGTCACCTTTCAAAGCAACACAGAATTGAGTGTAGCACAACCACCTACAAAAACTACAAGTATTGGCTCGGCGCCTATAGCTCAACCGGCTAAGGCGTCAGCCACGTACACCTAAGGTGGCGGGTTCAAATCCCCAGCCCGGACCCGCCAAACAACAATGATGGCTGCAACCAAAAAATAGCCG